TTTGTCAACCGTCATGGAAGAACAAAGCGCAGAGCTTGAGAATTTGAAGGGACAGCTGGAAAATGACAAGACTGAGTCGTGGGCTTTTAGAGGTATGATGATTCGTATGGTGTTCGCTGCGGTTTTACACGAGCACTTTCCAAACGAATAGTACAGTTGAGATGACCAATGGCTTTCGAGTTTAACAGAGTACGCATGGTTTGCTTACAGTGGTGATCATGTAATTCGGGGTTTTCATTCTGGATTGATTGCATCGAACCTCGTTACATAGTTGTATTTATCAGGTATTTCCCAAACCCTAATGGAGCCCGTAGGAGTCTGCTGCGGAAGGTGAAAGAATAAAACATCGTTGTGGGCTGGATTGGTTTCTTTGATGTCCGGCCTAGGCTTCTGATCGTTTCTTCTTGTTACTCTCTTTCGGGCTTTTCTTAAGAGGCGTTCAATTTGAGATTCTCCAGGCATCCTTTTGGTTGTATTTTGTCCCCGCCAGTTGCTGTATTTCGAGTCAAAGGTCTGCGCCGCTGTCGAACTCGTAATCGATCACTTCTTCCTTCTTCATGGGGAAATTCTCATTGTGATGAAGAGCGTCTTGTCCTTCTACATTCTGGCGGATTCCATCTTCGACATCCACATGTTTTGGGTTCATGAAGATACATTAGTCCCTTTGAAGTATGAAAACAAGTCCGATCCTAGCACCCACTATATAATGCTCAGTCGGTTTGCCGAGGACTTCGTCGCACACGGCAACCCATCTTGCTCATCTCTGACGATGATGTCTTCACTGCTCCAGGAAGAAGCGCCCATCTGATATCCCGAAACCAGAAACTGTGTGCAGACTTCAACAAGACACCCGCAACAGGCACGGACGCCACTGGACACTCTACAACCTCCTCAAATTTGACAGCCGAGCCTCACGCGCCGAGATCCTGCAGGCGCCTTGGAGCTTATATGAGGAGCTGGCCCCCAGCATGCAGCCGTGCTGACGAGTATCGAGAATGCCCAAGAGAGTAGGTCTATCATGGTCTGGTCGTTGTAGAGGTTACTTGGGTTCGCAGCTTCGCAAGAAGAAAAAGGCAGGGGACTAAGGCAGCAAGGGACGATGGGGAATTTGCGAGCAGCATGCGACGGAGTTGTTAACGGTGTGATCCAAGTAATCATTCTCGAGGAGTTAGTGACATAATGCAATACTCATTTACATGCCTAAGTATAGATAGCACAGAGGAAAGGTTGTAATATTGCCGCGTGAAGAGCATTCTAGAGATTTAGGACTGCGACGCGTGCCACCTACGTATCCATATAAGTCATATTAACGCCATTCTACTTCTGTTTGGCCGCGTGATACACCCTCCAGCACCTGTCTGTCTCCTGTTCCATCTCCAGCGGTATCACGGGACTCTCAACCGCTGCCTGCTGAGCTGCCTCTTCCGCCTCGCGCAGCTCCCCACGAGCTCAGCTCCAGGCAATCCCCCAGTCTATCGACGGGCTGACCTCGTGCTTGTGTGGAGCCCGTCAGCGATGGAGGTCCCAGAAGATATCGTTCCGCTGTACTGGTTGATGCGGCTAATGTCGTTGGCCTGGTCTACGGGGAGGTCGATGGTGGCGGCTGTTGTCAACAGGGTCGAGAGAGCTCATGGGAAAGGAGAGATTTAGCCCAGGGAGTCGGCCTAAACTCGGCTTCGGGAGGATGGTGACTAGTCATTTCCGCCCCATCTTGCTTCTCCTCATACAGCCGCAGCATTTCTACTTAGCGTCGGCGATGTGTGCAAGCATATTGAGCCACGTGTGCATGATGCGATCAAGGCCGGGGTGGTGCATGTGGTACGGGACAGTAGGCGGTCGATGTGGGCTTCGGGATGCGACGACAGCAGGCGTGGTAGGAAGTAATCATCTACCGGTACTGACCGTATGTCGCGACGCTCGAGACAACGACGACCTTAGTTCGGTCGTAGTAGCGAGTATCTCGAGCGAGAGCGGGTGTATTCGGTCACGGGGACGCTGCAGTGAAGCGAAGACGTGCGAGACAACGAGAAGCTGGGCAATGAGCAATGACAACAACGATAAACAACATCAAGAAGACCTTTCCGGAAAGACATGGAAAAGCCCCGGTCCATGGGTCATCCATTCCGTCTCTTTTCAAACCGCACCTTCATCAACCTGCGACACATCGAATCAAATCGGCTGACATACGCATAATATGGCCTCCAACACCACCGCAGAAAAACAGCCGCGTGATAGGTCCGGCACGTTCTAGCAGCCATCAAGACCTCTTGCCTTTAATCCGGAGGAAACTGTCCACCGACGCAGCAGCAGCACGTATCCGGAAATCCGATTACCAAGAGAGTCCAACTTCGACATCGTTTAAAGGGCGCAGTTGTCTGCTAGGTCAACCAGGTCGCGAGGCAACCGGGGCGCGCCGTATTGGATATAAATCGCGAGGCGGAGCTAGCGGCAACTGTGGGAGGCCAGCGGGCTTGCCGGTGACCCCGAGCTTACGCGCCCCCGGCGCACCTTCGGAAAGCTCACCGGAAAGCTCGCGGCGCACATTGTTGAGAGACGGAGACAGGTCTTGCGACCAAGGGTGGTGAGTCTTGGAATGGCATTGATGTGCGGATGGCGATTGGGATCGCGGGTCGTGGGAGGCGTGGGAATGGCGGAAGACCCAGATGAAAAAGCGAAAGGCGAGAAAGCAACAAGTGAAGGACGACCGTCAGAACGTGATGGCGGCCGCGACACAGGCACTGGTGGCATTCTTGCGCCTGCGAGAACGGGTAGTTGATCTGCATGACCTCCAATGTACGGTCAACGTAGAGGCTGCGAGGGACCTGGCCGAGAGCAGCCTTGCGAGAGAAGAGATTTAGATGGCAGTAGAGACAGGATTAGGTGAGCTGGAGGAAGAAGGCATTAATAGCAGGGCGGAGAAAGACGCTGCTGTCGCAGGCGTTCAGGTGAATACGAAAGGATTAAAGTGGGATTAACGACACCAAGCTTGGTCCGCCGATAACAACGGGTTTCAAGAGAAGTATAAGCAAGGGCTCAACGAGCAGCAGTGGCCCAGAGCGAGATGTCGCGGGTGGCGATAGCAGCATGTTAACTGAGTGCGACAAAAAAAAGGACTCCGTGGCACGTGAGGGGGCACACGACGGATCAAAGGTGGTTGTCGACATGCGGCTCTAATCAGACCGAGGCCGTGGTCTCGAAGATGTGTGCAATGGGGCATACGATAGATCGAATGAAGTGGTTGGCAACCCGCTCGATCGGGCCTCCCAGAGCGACGAGTTGGTAAGGGCGGAGAAGTAGTATTGCAGGCGACCTGAGTATTAGCCGGTAGGAGTGATGGAAGTTTCCAGAGGGGAAACTCAGTATTGCCATCTCAGCCACAACAGGTCCATCCATAATAGGGTCTTTGGTGGCCAGACGCAAGTGCCGTCCAGGTGCTCAACGAGGATCTGCTCCTTGATCAGCTTGACGGATTTAGCCTCCAGAGCACGCTGCACTCAGAGATTCACGCGGCGGAGTAGACGCCGATGGGATGAACGCAGTCGAGGTCAGCCAGTAGGTCTTCAAGGTGAACTCGACCGCAGGACACCCGGACCGGCTTGTGCCTAGCGAGATGACGGAACATGGTGAGATGCGCGCGATGGCAACAGCGGATTGGTTTGTTCTTACCCTTCCGAACTGGGAGATGGGCATGCCGTCGACGAAGTAGATGAAGCCATGAGGCAGGCATTGCTTGAAGTAAGGTCGGAGTTTACCTCGGCGGTGTTGCCTCTTCACATCGCGGATGCTGATGTTGCAGTCATCGATGTCAGTTGCATCGATCTCTAGGGCATGACTCTAGGCTGTGTCTACGGGATACAGAACTTGGGAATGGGAACGGCGAGGACATGGGACACACGCAGAGACAGCAAGGCGAGAGAGAGAGGCGGATAGCGAGGCATGAGAGAGAGACGGGATTGTCTGAGCCCTGAAGGTGATTAGCAAACGGCATCACGGCGACGAAGCGGGGCATCCAGATGCTCCCATTATCAACCAGAACTATTGTACAAAAGGAGACCGGCCAGCAACTAGAACATCACCGATAGCGTATAAATGAGGATGGTTAAGGTTGCTCCACCTTACACTGAAGACCGGTGGAAGGAGTTCGTGTGATGCAGGAGAGTGGAATCCTGTGCGATCGCAAATCCAATAGCTTCTGGTCAGGCTGTTGGTGAACATGATCGCACTTGCGCCGGGTGGTGAGGATGAACACTCGCCAGTCGTCCTTTCCACTTGTTCCAGTTGGCACACCTGGACTGAGCCTTGCAGCCAACAGCAGCAACAGCGACAACTCCTAAAAGGCCTGATGGCGAAGGTGCAAGACAATCAGAGGGCATCACAGACAGCAGTAATTTCCAACATCATTTGTACGGCTCGACACCGCTGCCGCTCCTTTGCAGTTGACGAGATGGTTGTGATTGGTTTGGCTGCGGGTTGACAAGATGCTTCGATGTCGACCGCACATGGTTAACAGAGTGGACAACAAGAGTGGCCAACACCAAACACATCTGCCCCCTCTTCCGGAGGCAATCATCTTGAAGAGAATCCACACCACCGAGGCAAATGGTGTCGGTCTGGCCAGCCGTCGCCGTGTGCCCCGTCCAAGCTCCGGTCTCTAGACGCAGGTCATTGTGCAATCCTGGCAGCGAAGCGAAAATGGCATGGCGGAGGGGGCAAGAGGGATGGGGGGGCGTGGGCGTGGGCGTGGGAACAAAAGCGCAGGCGGGGCGAACCCTGGGAGGGAATACCTAAGAGGATGAGGGTCGTCACTAGAGTGAGAATAGAAACGTGACGGGTACCTTGTATCTTAGTAGTACACCGTTTGATCGCGTAGGGGTTTGTCTGGCCGGCCAGCTTCTACGAGGTCTACGAGATGGCAGGGCGGATGGGGGACTCGGTTGGGAGCAGTAGACAGGGACAAGAAGATGAAGAAGACAAACCAGGGAACCCAATGTAACTTACCGTCATTCATGAGGCGCCCTCCTCTCCAGGGCGGTGTCGAGACCCACCTCGTTTTCTTCCAGTTCCCTCCCTCTGGTCTTGTTCCTGTAGAACTGCCACTCGCGCTCGTGAAGCAAATACTCGAGTATGTCAATGTTGACGTCGCGCTCGCGAATCAACTGCCGATTGTGAGTCGATAACGACAGTCACGCGGGGCCATACCAAGCCACAAACTCGTTGCTGCTGGCCTCGCGGGCCATCTCCAGGTAGGCTGGAACCCTGACGCCGACGGGATCAGGCTGGTCCTGCTGCCGTGTTTGATTCTTCTGTTCCTCTGCTAGGTCCCACCTTCGTACCTCTTCCACCTGAAGGTAGCTGTAGAGTTTGAGCTGCGAGTCCATGCGGTTCACAGCTTGGTGTATCGCGACGACGTCAGGTTCGAGCGTGGTGATGGCCTACGAGGGTGGCCATTTATGCCAATGAGAGGTGACCAGCGTGGCGGGCGTGCGGGGGCGGCCATGGTGTTCGGTAGGCGGCGGTAGCAATGGAGCTGACGTAGGAGCCTTGCCGTCGTTTACATCCTCAAGTCGGTAGGTAGTGGAGATGCATGCCGAGGTAATGCCCTACAAGCGGACTGCTAGCTCTTCGTGAGAGCCCGTCCAGCCGTCCAAGGTCGATGAGTGCCATGACGGGATCGTTTGTTTTTCGCCTCCGCCATCCGCAGGCTCTAGCGACTTGGGCGAGAATGCATTCACGGCGCGTTGCGCCACACGAAGATCCTCATCTCGCTGCGGTGCTGAGGTCATGCGCAGGGACAGAACTTGCCAACCCATTGTCATCTCGCCCATTGCGATCAAGTCGGCACGCGTCGGCTCGGGTTCGGGGAGGGAAGGCAAGATGTGCGTTTCGAAATCGACGGAAAGGTTCGACTTTCGCCAAGAGGAGTGGCAGCTGAGGAAAGTAACGGAGGAGCTCGGAGCGGTCATCGACTAGTGGATTTGGTGTTGGCGCGAGGGAATGGTGGTCTGTTTCGGGTTGCAAGTCTCGTTTGATCTCAGAAAAGAGCATCAGGTCGAGTGGATTGTAGGCCTCGAGGAGATTGTTGTTGTTGAAGGGGCGGTGACGGGGATGGCGAAAACTAGCGGGCGCTGGAAGACGGGCAGCAAGACCCAAACGGAGAGCCAGACAAGGGCAACCAGGAGGGCGAGCGAGGCAATGTAGCGAAGCCATGGCCGGCCTAGTTTAGCTGGGAGGTGCGGAGGCAACGCGGGGCGTTTGCAGGGAGAGAGCGCGAGATCAACATCGCCGCCGTCATCCTCGTCAAGGTAGAGGGTATCGCGATGAGGGGAAGAAGACACGGGCAGATAGTCGTCAACGTTGTCGATGTCGTTGAGGACATGCAGATTGACGGCATCGGTCAGCTGCACGGCATGGAGGCAGAAATGGAGCAGAGGCAAAAGGTTGAGGACCGAGGTCGAAAACTCGTCGGCGGGATGCGGGAGCTCTGTTCTCGCGCGTCGTTAGCTGCGTACCAGTCGCGTGGTTGGGGAGGGCGCGTCACAGTGGGTGCGGGGGAACTGAATTTAGCTGGGTAATGGAGGGCGGAACTATTTCCGTGTTCGGGGCGTGCTGCTGCCGACCCGCGCACCAGCACTGTGCACCAAGCACACTCGACACACCAAGACTACACCGAACACACCACTACACCGAGCATAGCCTCGGTCAATAAGGTAATACCCCACCATCAATGGTGTTCCCGGGGCAGTCCCGTCCCTGCATCCCATCCAGCAACCCCATGGGATCTCCTTGAACCCGCTCAAGGCCGGGTGCGACCTCCTGTCGTGGATTAAACGGTCCAGTGCGACAATGCACAACGAAGGGACCTCCTCCATGCCTGCCCAACCAGTGTTGAGACAGCATGCGTGCCTGCACAATGGTGTTGCAACTGAGCATCTTTGCCGATGGAACGAACCTGCCCGGCATGTATCCTCCTGCCAGTCTTGCATTGGGCAGGCAAGGGATTTGGGAAAGTCCCTGGGCAGGTCTGGTTGTTCCCATGTGCTTTTCGGATGCCCCGTCCCCCACCAAAGTCACTTCATCTCCAACAACAACAATAACGACATTCCAACGACCCAAAACAGCAGAATCACTCGCATTCCCACATCCTTCGTCTACTACAATCCATAAGACCAATCATTGAATTCCCACTACATCAACATGAGCCAAAGCAACAACCACACCTCCCATGGCCAGAGTCTTTCGAACGTCACCGGACCGAACGCTGACCATGCCCAGACGACGGAAGGCCATGAACCGAAGACACAGACGGATACTCAAAGCAGCGACTGGAAGAAACGCAGTCAGAGTTCTCAGGACGTCGCCGGACCAAACGATGATGGTATCCAAACGACGGAAGGCGGGCATAAGCGGATGAAGGTGGATAACGAAGAAAACCGCCACCAGCTGGAGGTGGATCACCAAGTCAACAATAGCGCTACGCCCAGCCAGAGCCTGAACAACACACAATCGGTTCCCTCGCCCTATCCATTCAACCGCGTGGGCACCTAGGTGGTCCACCCAGATGGGCTCGAGCCTCTCCACCTCCCACCGATGCCGGATCACCTGATGCACGCCCGAAGAAGTCGTTATCTCCTCGTGAATATCATCGTCAGAGATATAGGAGCAAGTTCAGACCAAGCAGATTGGGGTCTAGCCTACTTGAAAGAAATGACCTCGATCGACATCTGGTGGAACACGGCGTGGGGCCCCAATCGCCGTGATCTCAAGTACTATACCGACGACGTTACTATCGGGGACTACCTACTATTCAGACTCACACAGGCTGTGTCGCTGCTTTTCAAAAGCAAAATCGAGTTGAGCACTACAGAAGTGTTGAACTGAGATGCCACCGACCGGTACGTTTCATGACAAAATTTGGACGATGGAAGTACATCAGGCAGAGGCGGTCAGGTTCTGTGGCGAGAGAACCACCATGACATGGGTAGCGGCCAATGGATTCATTTTATGAATGAAATAGCGGGTTGCATTCAAAAGAAACGTATTATTTTAGCCACAGGCCTTTTCTGTTCACCACAAGAAGTACAACGCATGCGATGGAGAGGCTGGGCGAGCACCAGAACAGGTACTTGATGTACTCTTGGACATTCACTTCACACTAGTGCAGAATCCTATTGAAGTTTTACTTTTCGTTCATACCAGGGCTTGGGAAGTATCAAGCTTCTCCCGCACCAGTGCTTTTGGAAGGAGACTTCTCATGCTGTCGCGCATGACTGACCTCACCTCAGTGATGCTCCCTCCAGCAGCGGTGAAAAGCATCACCCTGTAATGAACGGTTGAAATGCGCTGGAACTTACCTTCGAGTTACAGAAGACGCCTCTCCGGAACGGCCCCCTTCATGTACTCTCGTGTTGTCATTCGAAGTCTTCACCCCGTTATCAACTCTACATCATCAGCCACCTTCTTGAGTGTTTCTTTCCATTCCATCACCGGAGCAAATGAGCAATGCTCCGTAACATCCCAATTCGCTCGCGGGCAATCATCTAATCACTGCCCATTGGGCTCTCCAAGACTCGTCCCCACTGATGCTGCGATATCAATCACAAGATCCACCACAGCTGATGCTGTGGTCAGCCGTGCTTTTTATTTTCGGAATGGAGGCCTTTAAAAAGGGAGATTGTAGACCTGTGGCATCGGCCAACTTGAGCTGAAGTCGCCCGGAACAGCTTGGCCGCTTTTTTGGTTATCCCGTTTCTTGCTTCAAAGTGATGACTTCGCAAAAGCCCGAGGTACTTTCACCGTTTTGACGGGAATTATGAGGAGAAAGGCCCTGGCCTGTGAGGTTTGGCCACTCCAGGAAAACCCGAACAGAATGCTGAACTCTAGACTCCGACTGTTGGCGACGATCATTTGTTTGCCAGAGAAATATCATGATGGCCATCAAACACCGGTCCGAACAGTAAGACGTGAGAGATCGTTCCCTGATGGCAGTGACGGTATTCAATGACTTCACAATGTCCCGGAAGTAGTCCTAACCTCTGTATTTGATGGCTTCAGAAGATCGTGGAGACAACTTGGGGCCTTGCCCTCCTGATCCCATAACTGGAGTTCGAACGTGGAACTCGTACATTAATACTTGGTGTTTGAAAATCTAAACAGCTTTAAACAAATTTTGCGCTTCTTTTCCCGGGCCGATCTCTTGAACAGAGGCGCACTTGTACGCTGGTGGATGGCTAGTGTATTATCGTCCGGGTCTTCGAATCTCAGCGACTTGGGAGGGCGACCTCCCAAAATCCCAGCAGACTGAATTTCATGTGATCGTTAATGCAGCTAATTATTTGGCCATTCGCATGCTGCTATATAATTACTTTCACTTTTATCACCTGGACTTTGGTTTCTGGATGGAGAGACACTTTCCAAAAGGCCTGTCGTGCCAGGTGGGCCTTTAAGGCTGCAGCATCTTGAAGGCCGGACAAGACAACGCGATCAGCCAAACAGAAGGCGATAATCTCTGGATGTGGGTAGACCATGATTTGACAAAGCTGCATCCGGGATGGGACCTGGTGAAGTGAGATCTGGCAATCGTGTTCAAGGGGGTGTTCACGATACACGAACTAATTCCCTGAGCTATCTAAAGAGAATTGTTTGGTGTTGAGACTACTGCTGACTGGGAAGAACCTGGTTGTAACGCAGTTAAATGCACACATTCGTTCAACGTTCGGCGCGTTGCCTTCGGCGCTCTTCGGTCTTGAGCGCCGAGCGGGGCCGGCTGGTGGGTCTCGGAATGCGGAGCAAGGAGATGCAGGCCACGAAAAATACGAGCTTGCAAACTGCAAAGCCATGAATGCTTCCCTCGACGAGCTAGATTAATAGGCAACGTTCAAAAACCTTTATCTCGTGAGGGATCTGCGTCTCCGAGGCACCCAGAGAGGAATGGGAAGGCACAACGCTTGACATCGGTTCGACCCAATGTCTCTCAGAGGTTGCATTGTGTCCAAACCTTTCACCATCTCATCTCTAACATTGACGGATGTCTTTCCCACTAATTACCAACCCTAACCGCACGGCACTGCATCGTAAATCGCCCGTCGCGACACAATCGCTGCGCGACCGTTTGTTCCTCACGAACAACCGACACCGCAACACCGAAACGACCAACTTAAACCTGCCATTCCAACGGCCATTGGTCTTTCAACTGGCCAACAGGAAGGGGAAAAGACACTGAATTCATCCTAAAATGGCATAAGCTCCATCGAGCATGATGGTTGACCGTGCAGGCGATCCGTAGGGCATTCCCGCGCAGCTGCTCCACGTTGCTTTAAATATTGGGTAGTTTGAAGATATTTCGATGTGATCTCAAAAAGTGTGGGGAACGCAAATAGGACCCGGAGGATAGCCTCGCCCTCGGCATCCCCGACCTACTGTTGGAATCCACATCTGACGGCATCAATAACACTACGGCTTTGGCTTATCCTTTGTGGAACGCAGAGGCTATACTGTCTAACAACGCATACTGCTGCGCAGCCATATTTAGAGGGTGTAGATAGAGCAAAGGGGGCCCTCATGTTTCTTTCGGCCATCTCATCACTTCACACTGGAATTCACACAAAGAACCAAAAACAAAAAAAAAACAAGAAGAGAATGCTTGGAAACCTACAACTCAGATTTCTAGTTGACCAACGCGGGTCTCGAACCCGCAGCCTTCAGATCACTGTATGTCAGTAGAAGTCTGACGCGCTACCATTGCGCCAGTCGGCCAATTTCATAAGTTGATTGCTTCGTAGCTTCTGTGGGAATAGGAGCGGGCAGCACCCCCGCCACAGCGCCGAGGATGACGATAGAACCCGCAATGCAACCGGAATTTCGGTTTTGCTCCTGGCCAGGACGACTTTTCGGTGGTGACGTGACGCGCCTACAAGACGAGGCCCGCCAGAGCCTGGCCGCCGATATCAACCCTCTGTCTAACTCTAATGATCAACAGCGAATCGAAATCTAGCTGACAGCAAGTAAGATCAATCACATTCACGTAGACTATAAACAGCTCAAGGTTCAGAGCACAAACCTGCAAGGCTTTCAGATGGTCTGAATGCCCAGCCATGCGTGAAGAAAAACCGTAGAGCTTGTAACTTGCGATGCCACTCCAAATCCGGCTCTCCAGCTTCTTTGCAGTTTTCTTCCAAGACTTTCTGTTCTCATGCCACCACTCTCGAAGGAGAAATAGGCGGCGCTGGAGCACGAAATAGGAAACCAATCTCAAACCTCGTTTTGGTGGAAGGGGCTCTATACTCCAAATCGTTAGTCGGGAGAATTAAAGTCCGCGAAGAAAAAACTTTCGAATGTTTTTGCGAATGATATCTTTCTTCCCTTCTAACTTTTCTTCTGTAGTTTGCCGCCTAGAGGCGTACTTTATTAACTACTATATAACTTTTATAGGGAATAATTAAGAACTAAGATAGCTTAAGTTTTATAGAGAAACCTTTATAGCTACTTATAGAGGTATATAAAGAGAGTATAAATCGCTAAAAAGTAAATATCTCTCTCTTTATATTATTATAACTTATTATACTAAAATATTAAAATAATACTATATTTATTACTTCTATAACTATTTTAAGAGTAATAATAACTTTACTTAGTTTATTAGAGAAAAAGAGGATAATATCTATAAGTTTTAAAGTAAATACTTTTTTCTTTAAAACTATAATAAATTTAAAGAAATATTATTCTTCTATTACTTATTAATATATATTATCTTTTACTAATATAGTTATAATAATCTATCTCTTTTTAAAATATTTAATAAGTTTAAAGATATTACTAAAGTATTTAAAAATAATAAAATAATTAATAATTAGTATTATAAAATAAACTAATTAAACTATCTAAAATAAAAGAACTTATTAATAGAACTTAAAGTAGTACTATAATTTAATAAAGTAGTAGTTAATAAAAGTAATTTACTAAATATATAAAGAGTAGTTAGAGTAAGGGGGACCTCTTATATATCCCTAGTTATATAAAAATTTATAAACGAATTCTTCACAAAATGTTTGCGAATGACATTTATATATACAGTCAATGAATCATGAGCTTGCTCCTCGGTGATTTGTTAGTTACTTCAACAGGCTTGAAGAGACGTACGCTGAATGCTCTTCTGGCGCCCCCGTCGGTACCTCTTCACCCTAGTTTTGATTGAAGGGCATCGTAGCTCGGTCAACTCTGTGACAGGTCATGACCGGCCCGCGTCCTTCTGCTCAGCGGTGCCCTGGCAATTGCACCCTCCGGGCAAGCCTTCCTCCCTGAAGCACGGTGCGAGGTTGACAACGTCAAAAAAGATTGTTCGTCATCGTGAAACCTGCGAGAAAGCTCCAGCCTCTTTCCCAGGTCAGTACATGGGGGCGTGACTCAAACTCGGGGTCATGGTGAACAGGTGGCGTTGAAGACGAGGGACCTTGAGGGACCTTTGGGCAATGTAGATGCCATGAGATCAGACGACCGGGGACGTTGCCTGTTGGCGTCATGGAAGCAGGATGGTCAATCAATTGGCTGGC